GGGGGGGGGGGGATGGTGGTGGGGTGGGGTGGAGTCACCATCCTTGAATGTGTTTAAGGTCATTTGGATGAGTTGTTGGGGAATGTGGTGTAGGGGAGAACTTTGTAGAGTCAGGCTGATGGTTGGACTCAGTGATCCCAGGGGGCATATCCCAACCTGAATGATTCTGTGATTCTGTGACTTGATGCCACAGGGAGCCTGTCTGCAAGTTGTTGGGCAGGAGAAGCAAGAGGTGGGATCTCTCTGATGGACAGTGTTTATAAGTTAGCATGGGCAGTTATTGGGAAGAAATAGAACTGGCCATCAGTGCTCTCTGGAGACAGGAGTCCTTGGAAAGACCATTCCAGAAGGGTTTGTGCAGTAGGAAAGCAGTGCCAGACCTCCCAACAGCCAGAAACTCTGCATGCTGAGGATCTGGCAGGAACATCATGATGGCAGAACTATCTGATGAGGCCAGAGGTTGTATCTGTGGCAGGTCTGCCCTTAACATTGCCCTTTTCTCCAAAGGATGAGCATCCCTGAACTCTGATGGAGGGAAGGTAGCAGTAGCAATATCAGGAGGGCTGAGCCCTTTACTGCCTTGCAGGTTTGGAGTGAGATTTCCCTGCATGTCAGACGCTTATGAACAAGATCTGCTTAGCCTGGCGATGGAGAGCGCACAGGAGCTGGGCTTCCTGAGCTTCACCCAGGAGGGAGTGTACTGCCTGCTGGCTGGTCCCTGCTATGAAACCATCGCCGAGTGCCGCCTGCTGCAGGCGCTGGGAGCGGATGCTGTGGGTAAGCTGCATGGGCTGGGCTGGTAGGGTTGGTTGGGCACATGGATTAAACAGTTAATTCTCTTCAAGGCTGATGTTATTCAGTCTTTGACTCTCTGTTTAAGTCTCTTGGGCCTAGAGAAACAATCTCTGTGCATTTCTGCTTCGTTTCGCAGTAGCTTGTTGCAGCTCCTAGGACAGATCTGCAAAAAGTCTCTGTGCTTATGGCTGTCCAGGACAGGGTTCCCCCACAGTGTTGTGTTCTTTCCCAAACACAAATCTCCTACATGAAGATGGCTCAACTTCAGCAGGGCTGAATGGGGCCCAGCCAGAAACAAAGTCCTTTTCTATTATCTTTAAAATTCTGACACTGTAAGGATTTTCACTGTGCCTCTTCCCTGAGAAAGCAGCTGTCACATCCTGCTCAGATGAGGGAGACAAGTGACTCTCACTCAGCCCTCCATAAGAGTCTTGATTGTTTAGGGATGGCAATCACAGCTACCTTCCCAACTGTGTATGAGGAGGGTGAGCATCATGATCCATATGATTCCTCCAGCTTGACCCCTGGCTCGTGGAAGTCTCAATATCTATGGATTCACTGTGTGGGGTGGAAAGGAGTTCAGCTTCCCACAAAGGCATTTTTCTCTGCGATAGCTTTTTTAGCCAAGGAAGAGAAGAGCCAAATGACACAGCACATCGGTACTTCTCTTAGCAAGGCTGCAAGCAGTCTGACACATCTTGGGGAGAGAGACGTAGCACGCAGGAATCAAATGTGGGAGGTTTATTGTGCTGAACAGGGTTGTAACTTTAGTGCTACAGCTATTAGAGCCTTACAAGTATCACAGCCTTTAACTATAACATAGCTCAGAAATAGAGAGCTATTGGGGAATGAGACAAGGGCATGCACTGAAGGTAGGATAGCAGTTTGCAGCCTTGGAGAGATCTTTTGGTGTAAATCCTGACTCATCCTGGTCCTTTCCTCTCCTACCACAGGCATGAGCACTGTCCCAGAAGTAATTGTAGCCAGGCATTGTGGCCTCCGAGTCCTTGGGATCTCCCTCATCACCAACAAAGTAGTGATGAGCTACAACAGTCAGGAGAAAGCCAACCATGAGGAAGTGCTGCGCATCTCAGTGGTCCGGGCTGAAGCCCTGCAGAAACTGGTCTCACACATCCTTGGCAAGCTGGGGGAAAGCACAAACTCCCCATGACCTCCTGACATCTATGATTTATATTGTAACGTGTGAACACTAGCAAGTGCCAGGGGAGAGCCAGCAGTGAGACTGTCCCTTTGTGCTCTCCTGATTTTGAACAGACCCTTTGAGTTTTGTCCCTGTGCTTTAGCTGGTCAGGTGCACAGGTTTGCTTTGAATTTTCCCAGAAAGATCCCCGTGTTGACACCCAGTGACAAAAACAGCTTTCAGGCACTTAAACGGGGTCTGACCTCTGGCAGATTCCCAAACCCTTATGTCAGCAGTGAGCCCCTGGGTACTGTGAACTCCAACTCCCCCTTGCTCTGCTGCAGAGCCTCTCCCCCATTGCACGGAGCCCCTAGGCCATGAGCCAGCTCCAGAGCTGCTCGCAAGGGTTGGTGCCTGCTGGGCATGCTTCAGTAGGGCCTGATCTGAAGGCAGTGGAAAGCCACAAAAAGCCGTGTCTGAAGCTACAAAAAGTTTTGGGTGAGGAACTGGATACATAAAATGGGCTAGGCTAAAGATGAGATCTGTCTGGAACAAGCAATGCTGCAGAGCAGGTGAATTGCAATTGATTATACAGCTTGGAAAACCACTGCATCCCCATGCATGGGGTTGTGTTCCCTTCCCATCCCAGAAGGTGTCTCCAGAAAGCCCTCTCTTTGCTTATTTCTTGGCTCTTTATGACCAGCTGCAGAGTCAGTAGCTGTTTCCCAGAATGCAGCATGCCCCCAGCACCCCTTCACACCTCTCCACTCTCTTTCCAGCTTTGAATCACTGTTGCCCTATTTAACAAGGGGTCAAAGTGCAGCTCAGAGACATGACTTGTCTGTGCACACTGTAAAAGTGGCCAAGCTGGAAACAGGATCCAGTCCAGCTATGCCTCATTTTGTTCCTTCTGTTTCTGGATGTCTGAGATCAGCCACTTGCACTGGAGACCTTTTGGTGTCCCGAGACAGAGATCAGTTTGATCCATTGTTTCACACCAGCTTTGCTCTGCTGCAGGCACTGCAGCAGATGTTGGAGCACCAATGGTTTGTGGAGTTTAGTGAAGTGAAATTACAGTGGAAATTATTTTAGAATAGGTATGATATTTTTCTGACTTCCCTGGTTCTCTTACATGAAGAAATTGAGCTGCAGTGAGTAAAAAACAAAGAGGAGAGGTCACCATGCTCTCTTTTACCTGATGGTCTATCAAGGAAGGGTGAATATTCACCACAATGGTGCATTATTCATTGTTCCCCAAAGGTCAAGCTGAGCTATGGATGCAGCTGCATGTGAAACAGTGCCTGTAATTATTAGGTAACCTTTTTCCCTTCATTTATCTTGGAGTTCTCTATAAAGCCCATCACTGTCATACCTAAATGCTTTCGGTTGACACAGTGGTCTGAACTGAAGACATCCAACAGCTCATGGAGAGCTCCCAATCTGCCTTCCTAAATTTAGCTGATCAGTTGTTTACCATTGACACTCGCCTTCCATCGCAGCATTCAGCCTTCCATGACTTTTCTTCAGCTGTGGGCAAAAAATGACATTATAGCCTGGTGATTTTTTTCTGGATGGGAAAAACATCATCCATTCATGCATCAGCCCTTCATGCTGCAATTACTGGTGTCACCTGCTGTATTAATGGTGCAGATGTTGCCACCAGGAGGAACAGAGTTGTGCCATGCATGTTTACCACAAAACGGTAGCCCTTCAGGTGTAAGCCACCTTGGGGTGGCCATCCTGTCCCCTTCTCTTCTCCTGGGAAGGAATACCTGTGGTCATCCTGGCAAATATCTGCCTAGCCTGGTCTTGAGAACTTCTTGAGTGGAAGGATTCGTTGCCTGTGCTCTACCCGCGAAGTAACTTGTTCAGCAGATCCTGGCACTTGGAGGAGCCCTCTGAGACAGCAGCTCTTTCCATTTGGTGGGTTTGACTCAACACAGCTTTAGGGACCCGCTCTGATGGTAATATGCAAAAGGGAAAGAGACTCCAGCTCCTCCTTCCTGTTGCCTTTTCAGGTCTAGGAGGAGTCAAGTGCTTATCAACAGTGGCAGCAAAAGCAGTGGAATATGAAAAGTGGCAGATGTTCAGAGCAAGAAGGAACCACTTTTACCTGCTCCCTTTTCAGACTTGTCCCAGTATGGGCTTGTTACAGGGCAGGGAGAGAGCAGATAATTTCCCCTGCCTAGAAAATGGCGCTTCACATTCAGCTAATTAATACTTGGTAAATACAAAGTCTCTCAAGTGTGAGTGGAAGACAGCTGTGCAGCTAGCTGTAGCTAGAGAGCAGCCAGAGTAACTAAGGCTGGGATTTCAGCAGACTCCATTAATTAATCAGAGTCAGGCTTGACTGCAGTGTGAAGAGAAGCATCCAAAAAAACTGCTGTTGTGCTGGTACTTCTCAAGCCAGGCTTCAGATGATGAGGAGCTTGGCAGCAGCACCTGCTTCCAGTAGGCTGGGTCTGCTCCTCTCTCCAGCTGTGCCAGAGGCAGAGCGTGAAACCCATACCATGCACTTGTGTCTGAATACAACTTCAATACAACATAAAATTTCATTGGAAAATCACTGTGCAACTAAATATTTGGCAAATTATGTCCATTTTAAAATAAATATTTCCTAAATAGCATTTGAGCCCTTAAACAGCTAGAGGCTCTTCTTTTTGCTGTCCAAGGGCTGACTTGGATGGCTCAAACTCTGCATGAACACCCTGATTTTTATCCCTGTGAACGCAAGAAGGAAGATGCCCTGGTCACTTTAGAAAGGATCTTGCTCATGCTTTGGGAGAGAGAAGCGGAATACAATTAAGGAGTAGGTTCATCTGGTTTTGGAGATGCTTTTATTCCTTTTTTTTTTTTTTTCTTCACTGCTGCTGAGTTTCAAAAGTCTGAAATACAGTGATGCAAGGGGAAGAATGTGTGGGGAAGAAACTGGGAAGAAATAAACCCTGTTGTGATCTTGAAAACAGTGGTTTTGTTTGCTGTGCCAATACCACGGGTTAGAAAGGAAGGAGTGGCTTAGCTGTACACCCTGCATCCGACCCCCCCCAGGCTGGAGGACAGCCCTGGGGTACCAGAGCACCAGCACTTAAAGCTCAGGATAATCAGGACCAACATTTGCCCAGCACTTTGCACTGGTATTTCTTACTGATCCCACTGGGCTGAGGAATTCTCGGAAAAAATACCAAAAACCAAAGGACCTCAACTACCTCTTGAGCAGCTGACAGGTATGATGGGCTGTGGTGGTGCCAGTGCAGCAAGTCATCTGTGCTGGAAGCAGGACGTGGTTTCCTTGATGCTGTGCCTTTTATTTAGTGCACTTAGAGCTTTCCAGCAACATCCATGGCTGAAAGGAGTAGATTGTAAGGCAACCACAGCTTTCTTTCATTCCTATGTTTTGCTACTTACCTGTGTCTGAATTCAGGCTGCTATAGCCATAGGGATAAGCTGGCAGATGCATGAAAAAATAAAAAATCTTCACAGTGGAAGAAGAACCCCAAATTGCATGACTGATCCTGGATTTTTCAGTGCTATGATTAGCAATCAGCTCAGGTGCTGCCTGCCTAGTGAATGCCACCAGCACAGGCTGTCCCATGCTGCTGCACCTGTGGCAGGGGACTGGTGGAAGACCTGTGCTGGTGCAGGGCAGAGCTGCACAGCTCTCTCAGCCCTTTACTCTCTCTCAGCCATGGTTTCATGAGCTGATCTGGCCCATCCTTTGTGCCAGCCCTTTCCTTTTCCTTGCTCATCAGTCCAGAGAAAACTTTCCAGGTCATGGGATCCTGCTGCTCCAGCCCCTTGGAGATTAAGACTTTATATTGATGCCCTCATGTGTGATTCATATAAAAGCCTGATGTCAAGGGGAGAAATCTCTGATACAACCTTTGCCTGGACCATATCATGAGTTTTTAAGTGGAGATCTCTGCTGTTATCTGAGAAACAGCCATGCAACCTCACCAAAAATATCTGATTGTGTGATCCATCCTGTTTCCTTTGCAAGGCTTGGTTTCCCAGACTCTTCTTTTACATGAGATTTGCTGTTTGCACTCTTTTCTACATAAAAGGAAAGCAGAAAACTTTTTTAGAAATGTTCTGTCTTTCTCAGCTCAGCAGCCGAACGTATGCTTTGCCTTCAAGTTATCAAAATTCCCTTAGATGTTTCTCTTTACTGAAAACCTGCAGTTGAATTAAGGGGTTTCTGCTGTAGTGGTGAGTTGGATTTTTTTTTTCCAAAAGCTTTAAGTCTTCACTGCAAGGATTTCATATGCTGAAAAGAATTAAACTCTTCCCTGCCACACTGAGTATGTGGAGCAAGGGGGAGCGATGTGATGCGGGTCATGGCAGTGGGCTGATCTCAATTTGTTGCTGAATTAAAGCCTGACTCTGTAAGCAGTGTGATGGTCTGTTATTTCCAAAATGTGATGGCACTTTCAGATAAGAGATGGTTTAAGAGCTAGGACATGGGTGAAGGCTGGAAGGAACCATCCAGCCTTTTATCCTGCAGAGGGGACAACCCCTCCTGCCGCCAGCTGCGCCCAGGCACCCATTCTGGGAGCTGACTTTAAACAACCCCCACTTGCTTTCCTTGCCCAAAGCTTCACAACCCTCTCTAAAACTCTCTTTCTCAATCTTAGCAGACCTCTTCCCAGGTCATGAACCCTCCTTGCCCTGCCGGGTGCTTCACAGGGGCAGCTGGAGGAAGCACTTCCCCAGGGATAGCAGGGAGCAGAGTCAGGGCACTGCCATAGCCCAGATTTTGTTGCCAGGTGCCAGCCTGGAGCAATCTTGGTTCCTCGTCAGTGGAGAGCAGCGTGACCATGCTGGGCTGCTGGCCCAGAGCCATCCCTGCTGTGGGTTGGGGCTCTGCTCCCCACAGAGCAGATGATGGAGCAGTGTTGGGGACCCAACATTCTCCTGTGCCCCTTCTCTCCCCAGCCTGGGGACCCTTGGGGACACATCCCTGAGCCCCATGGAGGCAGCGGGTGTCTGCTTTCAGCCCCCAGGAAAACTTTGCTCTGAAGGGAGGGGGACAGAAAAGCAATGAGCTCTGCTGGGGAAAACTGTGCTCCAAAAAACGGGAAAAGGAAACTTTTTTTGCAGCTCATCTCTATGCCAGACTGCAGGAAATGTGAATCAGGTACCTGGGACACACTTCAGCATCTCTGTGCGTGCTTGAAGGATGCGTGGAGCAGCAGGGAGGAGGAGAAGGCCACCCCACTGCTCTGTCCCAGCCTGGCTCTCCCTGTGGGATGCTGGTGCAGCATCTCCCTTGCCATGCCCAGAGTCAGCATCCTGTCCCGCCCCAGCTCCCCACGGGCCTGCTCCCAAACGGGCCATGGGCTCTGTGATTTGGGGGAAGCACATCACATCCCCTTTTCTCCCAGCCAAGAGACAAAAACAAGAGGCACCAGCACCCGGCAGGATGGGCAGTCCCCCCGATAGCTGCCCGCAGCTGCCTGCTGCCGATTACATCCCTGCTCTGCGCACGTCTGAAGTTTCCTGCCTTCTTCTCATCTTTAATTAAGCACTTCTATCGGCTGAGCCTTCTCGCTGGATCTGAATTATATTATTTTTTTCCCCGTAGCCATAGCAACACTTCCCCTGGGCAGGCTGTGCTGGAGCCAGTGACAAACCCCAAGTGTGGCTGTTTGTTTGGGCCTGGAAATTTCCCTGCCATTTGGGAAAACTTAAGAAAAGAAAATCCCCTGACGAGCTGGCAGCCAGCAAGTGGCATCAGTGTGAGAAACATTGCTTTTTGGGCTGAGCACCACTCCCATCCCTCCAAGAAGACCCCCTTCAGCAGGGATGGCAAAGCCTTGATCTGAGGATTCCTTGAGTTTTCCTCAAAAAAAATGGGAGCAGGGTCTGGATTTCTCATCCTTGCCGCAGCCATGGGTCGCGGGTGACTGCCCTGCTGCGGCCAGCGCGTGGTCCCTTGGTGGCGGTGGCACTGGAATTGCCTCCGCCCTGCTCCTCGCGCCAGGACCAGCAAGTCCTGAGGAATGGAGCTGCCATCAGGAGCCCAGCGAGGCAGGGGGGCAGCGACAAGGCGCACAGATGTGGTGACACAGGACAGGGACACAGTGACAGGGGTAGGGCTGGGTGACGTGGCTGAGGGCTGCGTGGCACACGAAGGGACGCAGGAGCTTGGGGAAGGGGTGGAGTGACAGGCAGGAGGAGGTGGCAGTCCAGGACAGGGTGAGAAGGCAGGGATAGGTGTCAGGGCAGGGGTAGGTGACATGGGGCAAAGGTAGGTGACATAAGGCGGGGATAGGTGATGGGGCAGGGACAGGTGATGGGGCAGGGGTAGGTGACATTGGGCAGGGCAGGTGGATAGAGCAGGGATGGGTGACAAGGCAGGGACAAGGGCAGGGCGTGGGCTGCCCCCGTCGTTCCCGGTGCCCCGGTCCCCGACCCCCGCGATGCCGCTGTCCGGGTGTCCCGATGTCCGGGTGTCCCCCGTGGCGGTGCCGGTGTCCGGGTGTCCCGGTGTCCGGGTGTCCCGGTCCCTCCCCCTCCGCGGTGCCGCTGTCCGGGTGTCCCGGTGTGTCCGTGTCCCGCCCCCCCTGCAGTGCCAGTGTCCCGCTGCCCCCCGTGCCCGGCCGGTGTCCCGGGGCAGCGG